TGTATTTTATTTACTTCTGTGTCTCTCTACCTTATTAAATGATTAGTTCCTTAAGTGCTCCTTAGTCATAGGTGTGTCCCACCAAGTTCCTGGGCCAGCAACTAACACACAGTAGGTGGTCAAAAATGATGTTTAATTAAGAAAAATGACTTCTGAATTCTCATTGTTTCTGTTTTTCATGAGTAGTAATCCTTACGTAAAAAGCCAAACATTTAAAAGTCTTTTGAGGTTCTTCTTACAAAGTAATAATATTAAAATACCATTTGATTATTATAAAATAGACTTAACAATCTAATGTCCAGTCTAGTGCTCAGTATTCTTAAAATAATGAATGAGTTATTTTTCCTTCTGTTCCTGTTTCTTCTTCTGTCTCTTACTACTTTCATGTGGTTACACAGATTTTTATCCCATTGGAGGAATAGTACAATATGTGATGACATTCCTCATTAGTGAAGGTCAAGTGACTATTAGAATAGAGTTTGCACTAATGAGGAATTTCTAATGAATACATGCTGAGAGTTTTCTCAGAGTAGAAATAGGTTTTTTTTTTTCAATTTATTGCAAAATCAAATTATGTTTTCCACAGTGAGAAGCCTAAAAACACTTTTTTTATTCATACAGACCCATTATACATCTTTTTGAACAGAACAAAAAAAACTATAATTTTGATATCTGTAATGTAATTATGAAGTTATCTTCATTTTGGAATCTGTCTCATACAGAATTCCTTTTGAAAAGTTCTGTTCTGAATAGCCTGAGAACTTCCATATATAAACATACTAGCTTTTCAGAGCATGAATAGGACCCTCTGGTTGGTTGCCATCAGGTTGGCTCTGACTCATGGCAACCTTGTGTATAACAGAATGGAGTACGGCTGGCCCTGAGCCAACTTCATGATCACTGGTATGTTTGAAGCCATCATTTTGGCCACTGTGCCAATCAACCTCATTGAAGGTTTCCCTCATTTTCACTGGTCATCTAATTTACCAAACATGATGTCCCTTTCTAGCAATTGGTCTTCCCTGATGATAGGTCCAAAGTAAGCATGTTGAAGTCTTGCCATCCTCGCTTCTAAGGAATGAACATTCTGGCTATATTTCTTCTAAGACTGATTTGATCGTTCTTTTGACAGTCCACATTATCTTCAATATTCTTCACCAACCCCTCGGTTTGAATGCAAATTTAAAATAAAAGAACTAGCCAAAATGTTCATCACTATGGGGCTAGCTAAATAAATTATGATAAACCGATACAGTAGAATAATAGGCAGCTAAAAAAATGAGCAAGAACCAATCAATATATGAAGGGTTAACTGAGAACGTTAGGAGCTGTGGTAGCATAGTGCCTAAGGCATTTGACTGCTAACCAGAAGGCTGGCGGTTCAAACCCACCAGCCACTCCTCGGAAGGAAGGTTGGGCAATCCTACTTCCATAGTGATACTGCCTCGGAAACCCAAGGAGGGGTCACTATGATTCGGGGCCGACTCGATGGCAAATAACAACAACAACAACAACTGAGAACGTTGGCAGCCTCCGGTAAGGGGAAGCTAGCTGAAGGACAGAGTTGGGAGGAGAATATTTATTGTAGTCTTTTGTGTCTGTTTTTTTTTTTTTTTTTTAATTTTTATTTTTTGCATCTTAAGTTTTGAACCATATGAATGATTACCTATTCAAAATGTAGATTTAAAAAATTTTTAAATGTCTCTGAAACTAAAATTAGTTCCAGTTTTCAGTGTATTTAGTTTCAATTTTCTAATTCTATTTAAAACTAAATTTTAGAGTCTAAACTCTTCCATTTTATAGATAAGAAAACCGAGGTTTAGAGAGATCAAGTGATTTGCATGTGTTCAAGTAGATAGCTAAGTTATAAATGGCTGTCCTATTAAAGAGAATCCCAGTCCCCCCATAATTTTTCGTTGACCTTACTAAGTGTTGTGGAAGAACTAGAACTCCAGTGCAATGTAAAACAGTACAACTACTTAGGGAAAATGTTTGGTAATTTCTTTAAAAGTTAAATATACCCTTATCATATGACCCAACCATTTCACTCACAAGAAAAATGGAGTGCGACAGACCAAGGAAAGAGAATAACCTCACAGAACTGAGGAAAGTTCTATACGTACGATTAGTTTTATCATAGTAAAAAGGATACGAATGAAGAGGCCCATAGGACAGAGTCTGGGAGGGTCCCCAATTTCTCATGTACCAAAAGACCCACTACCCTGTGAACATCGATGTCTTCCACTGGTTAGGAAGTTCACTCAACTTATGCCCAGCACTGAAGTTTCATCCTACTCACCTGAAAACTGAAACACTCCCAAAAAATTGAAGAAGAGGGAATACTTTGAACTTACTCTATGAGGCCAGCATAACTAACACCAAACCAGACAAAGACATGCAAGGAAAGGAAACTAAAAACAGTATACCTCAAGAACATTTATGCAAAAATTGTGATAAAAAACTTAGAAAATAGATTCCAATGACTTATTAAAAGGATAATAATACATGGCCAAGTGGGGATTATCCCAGGTATGTAGGGTTGGTTTGACAGTCAAAAACAATCAATGTAGTTTATCATATTAAACTAAAAAACCGTATGATGCAAACACCCCAACATCCATTCCTGATGAAAACTCTCAGCAACTTGGGAATAGAAAGAACTTCCTCTGTCTCATAAAGGGCAGGACCAAAGCGTTATAGGAATTCTGATAATCAAATCAGCAATAGTGTCTATATTTGAGGAGAGGGGAAAAAAAATCTAAGTTTATCATGGAAATTTGCTTGAAAATTTTTTCATGACTTTTCCTCAAGTTCTCTGTGGCAACTTCAACTTTGTTGTTGTTAGGTGCTGTGGACTTGGCTCAGACTTGCAACAACCCTATTTACAATAGAACAAAACGCTGCCTGGTCCTGCGTCACCCTCACAGTCCTTGCCATGCTTGAGCCCATCAGTGCAGCCACTGGGTCAATGTGTCTCATTGAGGCCCTTCCCCTTTTTCGTTGACCCTCCATTTTACCAAGCATGATATCCTCCAAAGAATGGTCCCTTCTGACAACAAGACTACATAGGTGAGACAAAGTCTGGCCATTCTTGCTTCCAAGGAGCATTCCGGCTGCACTTTTTCCAGGACGGATTTGTTGGTTCTTCTGGCAGTCTATGGTATTTTCAGTATTCTTCACCAGCACCACAACTCAAAGACATCGATTCTTCTTTGGTCTTCCTTATTCATTGTTCAGCTTTCACGTGTATATAAGACTATTGAAAATACCATGGCTTGGGTTAGGTGCACCTTAGTCTTCAAAGAGACATCTTTGGTCTTCACTTTAAAAAGGTGTTTTGCAGCAGATTTGCCCAGTGCAATGCGACATGGGATTTCCTGATTGCTTCTTCTATGGGTGTTGATTATGGATCCAAGTAAAATGAGATTTCTAACAACTTCAATCTTGAAAATACTATGGCTTGGGTTAGGCATTTCAACTTTAGTAATCTGTATTTCTAATTGCTGTAATTGTTCTCCTACCTTTACTTGCCACTGCTTACCATGTCCCTGAACACCTAGCTAGTCTTGCCCATTTCCCTGGCTCTACCCATCTCCCTGTACTACTACTACAAGGACTAACTTTGAGCTCAGTGGTGGTGAAGAATGGGAGTGGGGAGGAGTAGAATGGTACTGTCAGAAGACAAGAGTGGACAGCCTAGAAGAAGATCATCTGGAGCAAGGCTAACCCATCAAGATTCTGGACCAAAAACCACTCCCAGATCACCTGTAACAGTAACTGGGTGTTGATGCTGTCTTCGGTTGTGTTTACAATCAAGCGTTGACAATAACCAGAGTTCTAAACTAGACTAAGTTATCATAGAAAAAAAGTATACAGTACTCAATGAAGCATTTTTGCATGTAATTTACACCTACCAATTCTCAAACTGTGAGAGCAGAGGTATCTACTTCTCAACCTCATTGGTATTCATAGCATGATGAGCATCTTGCTTTGTGATAGTAGGGGCTTGTACAGTAAATAGCATCAGATAAGCTAACAAAAAGGTACATTATTCAGCTCTTGAGAGTCTTACCTAGCCTAGGCCCCCTCTTTGGCTTAATATAAAATTTAAAAAAACACTTTGCTATTTGGGTCAAAGTCGTACCTCCGTTTTCTTCTGCTGTGTCTGCTGAGAAAGGCAAATGTTAGAAAGAAACATCTAGGCCAGCAAGTATCATGAGTCTCTCAGTTAACTGTTTTTGCTCAGAGACCTAACAGGCCCAACCTGGCAAATGTTTCTAGGCTAAATATTGTTTCTAAATTCCTCCCTCCTCTCCCTAAGGTGGGGAGCTCTGGTAGTGTAGTGCCTAAGGCATTTGACTGCTAACCAGAAGGCTGTCGGTTCAAACCCACCAGCCACTGCTCAGAAGGAAGATTGGACAATCTACTTCCGTAGAGATAAACCACCTGGGAATTCCACCCATCGACTCGGTGGCAGTGATTTTTTTTTTTTTCCTTTTCTCCCTAAAGTGGTTAGGGACCTTGGACTAGGTCTTTAAAAAAGACCAGATTGAGCTTCTGTTCAGGTGCTCAGTGGGCAGTGTTGTGAACTAGGGGATGGCCTAAGGTGATCTTAGAGTCGACTTCATTTTGCAGGTAAGGGAACAGAGGTCAAAGAAGGACTCGATCCCCAGCTAACCAGACTTCCGCGCATGCTGTGAGATGCCTGAATAAGTAAGGGGTAGGGGTGTGTTTGTGAAAGGGATCCTGAATATGGAGTGCGACAGACTTGGGTTCGAACAGAGCTGAGCTACTCAGTGGCTGTGATACTTCTCACACTCTTCCAACCTTGGTTTCCTCATCCGTCAGCAAGCCTTAAAGGCGTCGACCGGGTGATTGGCGCCGGGAAAGCCTGCAAGACCCGGATGGGACGTCGCGGCGACGCCCCCTGTCGGCTGGCCGGGCTCCCCGCGCTCGCCAGCTCGCGCCCAACGCTCCATTCGAGGGGCGCCCGGGGCCGGATGCCCGGAGTCCGCATCTTCCTTGGCCTTCTGGCTGCCCTGGCCGCCTGCGGCGTCGTCGCCTTCGTGGGCTACTGTGTGTATTTCGACTGGAAGCGGCGTGGCGACCCAGCGTTCAAACGCCGCCTGAGGGACAGTGAGTGCCGTAGAGGTGGCGGCGCGGCTGAGCTGGGCAGGGCGGGCCTCAGGCCAGGCAGCCGGACGGGTCCCACCCACTGAGGCGAGGCCCGGCCGCGGGTACCGCCGCAGCCGCCGACACCACCGTGGGGTCCGCGGCGCCGGGCGGTTGGGCCGAAGGGGCCCACGCAGGTCTTGGGACTTGCCTCCCAACCAGCACGTGCCGTGTTGTGTTTGCAGAAAGAAGAGCCGAACAGCCAAAGACTAAGGAACGTGGTGCTCAGGTGAAATGCTTTAGATAAACTGGTGTTGCTTTTAGTGAATTCGTTTTCCTTTCCGACAGTGTACTAGCTTTGCCTTAGGGTCTCACAGTTGGTTCATCCTGTAGATATTTCCAAGGCTTCTGTGAGTTGGAATAGACTCCAGGACAAGGGTTTGGTTTGGGTTCAGGTAAAGAGCCCTGGTGGTGCAGTGGTTAGGTGCTCGGCTACTTATTGAGAGGTTGGCGGTTCGAACCTAGTGGCTGCTCTGCATTTTCTTCCTTAGATTGCAGCCTTGGAAACCCTATGTTGCAGTTCTGCTTTGTCCTTCAGGGTCACTATGAGTCAAAATGGACTCCACTGGTTTGGATAGTACTACTGGACCGAACAGAGACCCACCCTAAGTTCTCCCTTATTTTTTAGATTTTATTCTCTTCCTATAATAGAAAGAAAGGACAATTTGGGGTTTTGAAAACGCAGCTATAAAGTAAAAATGTAAGAACAGCTTCTAACTGAAACAAGAAAGAGGAACCATTGCCCTGACACAGCCACACAAGACACTTAGAAACCCAGGCTGGGCAATGGATATATGGGAATAACTCCTGTTCTGCCAGTTTCTGTAATATAGGGCCTTTCTTCTAACTCAGAAGTAGAACATACCTTTTTTTTTCCTCTCTCTAATTTTTTTTTTTTTTTTGGCTTGAACAAACAGGAGTTTATTCTCTTACAGTTTGAAGGCTTTAAGTCCGAGTTCAGTGTGGGCTCTAGGGGCGGGGTGAAAGCCCCTCAACCTTGGGCTTCAGTTCTGCTTCCTGCTCCCAGCCCACTGAAGCTAGAGGCTTTTCCACTCAGACGGCTGCTGGCTGCTGAGACTGACCAGCCCAAGGTTGACAAGTAAAAAGGCATAATCCCGATGTTACCAAACCACATGGTAGGCCATTAATTCAAGTCCACTGAAAGTTCCAAGGTCGGCGTCAGAGCACGGCAGGCTGCTGAACAACCACATGGCTATGTGGAGGGTTCAAGTGTGCCATAAGCTAGCGCTCATTCCCCAAGGCTTTTCCTTATATATAGGATCCAGACCACATTCCCTAAGGAAGCTACACAGCTACTCACAGTAGAGTCCACCATGGAGTTGATTACCAGTCTCATCATGGAGAATACTACATCCAGCTGCCCAGCCACTCAACCAGGCCCAACCAAGTTGACACACAAACTTAACTACCACAATTAGTTATTGTCAATTGAAAGTGTTGTTTTGCTTTTTTATTAGAAGAATAATTTTCTCCAACAAAATCTTACAAAGACTTCCCATATATAAAACAGATGAAAGTAGACGGTTCTCAGCTAGACTTATTATCATGGTCTACCAAAAATCTTCCAAGGCCTTGGGTACATTAAAGTACAATCCCAGAGCTTATTGAAATAGTGGGCAAACCACTTTCCTACTGCCTGGAAATGATGGAAAATCAACTCAGGAATTCTTCCAGCCAATCTAATGATAATCGCTATTCCCCACCAGTCTAGAAAACTGGGGTACATATTTACCTATAACCCAGGATGTTGCTTTTCATCTTTTTGTTTTTCTTCATGCAATTTATTTTACGTGGAATAATATTCCATGTTCAAGATCTTCATTTAAAATGGAATTAATTTTAAAATAACAGTTACACATAATCATCTTGGTGGTTGGCCCCATTCAACTTTCATCAGCTCTTCTTCTTATATACATTTTCAGAATTAACCAAGTTTTAACCTTCATTCATTCATATGGTCAGTCAATGACTATTTGAAAGCCTCCTGTATGTAAAGCACTGGCCTAGATGCAGCAGAAGTCAGCAATTGTGTAATAAGAACAGTCTCCAAATAAGGCAGGGGATGAGGGCAGCAAATGCAACAACACCTCAGAGGCGGCAGAGATCATTTTCTAGGTAGTATTACCATGGAAAGTGTTTCATCTACCTACTGCTGTTTTGAGCTTAGTGGTTTAAAACAGTATCTGTTTACTGTAATCTACAGTGTGCACAGGGCTTGGTGGGGATAGCTCTTCTCTGCTCCACCTAACTACCACAGTGGCTCAAGACTGGGGGCTGGTCACTTGAAGATTCACTCCTTCATATATTTCTTGGTTGATGCTGGCTGTCCACTTAGCTGGGTTTGTTGGCAAGAGCACTCCATATGGCCTGGACTTCTTCCTCACAGCGTGGTGGCTGGGTTCCAAGAAGCCAAACACGTGTGTGTGTTTGTGTATAGAAGAGAGGGACAGTGCCAGGTGGTACTACCTCTGCAACATTGAAGCCTACTCAGTTTCAAGGAAGGAGACATAGACTCCACTTTTTTGGTAGGGGAGAGGCAAGGCTTATGAAGAGACCCTAGGACCAGGAGTATTGCTATGGCTATTTTTGGAAAATGCAGACCTTGGAGAAGATTGTGCCAGGCCTATTTAGGAAATCAGTTGGCACGGGAGTCACAGTGGGGAATAGGTGAGAAGTAAGGTTGAAGAGTGAAGTAGTGGTCAAGTTAGGAAAGGCCTTGAAGGCCGAATCAAAGAATTCTTATTTAATGAGGAAACTGCATAATATTTCTGTGCAAAGATTAAAGCGAAAAAGAAAAGGAAAGAAAAACTTTTTTTTAAGTTACATTGATCTTGCAGGAGTGAGCTAGATGTATTGGAGAGAACAAGCTATTCCAGCAGTGTAGGTGAGAACTAGTTGACCCTTGAGCAACTTGGGAACTGGGATACCAACCCCTCATGCAGTCAAAAGTCTGTGTATAACTTTGACTCCCCAAAAACTTAACTACTAATAGCCTACTGTAGCCAGAAGCCTTACCGATAATATAAACAGTCCTGATCATAAACCCAACTGTATTTGTACAAAACAGTAGAGTTAGCCTGTTCCTTCCTGCCTTAAATCCCACTGCTTGCTTCTCTTCCTTACTAATAAACGTCCTTTGTATCATTTTTTTTTCTTTTTCCAGAATAGGGAACATTTGTCTGAATTAAAAACGTGTTCAGATACCCTTTCTCCTCAAGTGATTTTCTTAATGCTCCTGGAGAACTTGTCTGCTGCCTCTTGGTCTGCAGAAGCTGCTTTTCCTGTTATCTTGACGTTTTTAAAGCCAAAGCTTTTTCTAAAATTATCAACCCATCCTTTGCTGGCATTAAATTCTCCAGCTTTAGATCCTTCACCTTCCTTTTGCTTGGTCATATAATGACTTTGCTTTTTCTCAAATCATATCAGCATCTATAGGTGTACCTTTGTTATAGCAGTTCTGCACCCATGAGATAAAAAGGTATTTCACAAAAAGTGCAAGGGTTTGTGCACCTGCTTGCATAGTAGTGTCAGTGATGACTGAGAATAAACGTGAGGAATAGTCCAGGAAGGGTAGATAGTTCACAATGACTGCTTGATTAAAATAATGGAGAGGCAGCAATGACTTCACACATTTCCTTTTCTTTTTTTTGCCATGGTCTTTGTGCTGGATTCATGTATCTTGAAAGGCAGGCAACAGCAGCTGCGGACTTCAATCTGCTGTACATATCAAGTGGTTCAACTTTTCCTTGTAATGCCATGACTTTGCTTCTTGGGAGCATTTCCAGCATTACTAGTGGCACTTCATATGGATCCCATAGTGTTATTCAAGGTTGGTATTGCACTAAACACGATGAAAAATACTTTTACACAACACTGATTTTCACATATTGATCTGGTCTTTGGAACTTTTATGTTGATATGTGAGGAGTGGGTGTATTATTATTGTTACAATTAGATTTCTCTCTCACTCACCCCATCATAATCTGCCTAAATCAGATCACTTGATATCTTCCCTATAATATTCCATCACTTATACTTTCTTTACCAAAACTTTCACTGAATCTCTCTACATCTCAAATGCTATCTTTTCTGAGAATCCTTTCCTTATTCCCCAACCAGATGTAACATCTCTGTACTTTGAGCCCTAGCAATCATTGGACTTCATTGTTGTACCTAGAGGTACTTGTCGTTTTTCTTGGTTAGACTGTTAATTCCTTGTGCTTAGACATATGGGGTCTTGGTTTCCTATTCCTTCCAGCTCTTCCTAGAGGCTTGTTCTCACTAAACATCTGTTAAATGAAATCCATGGTTATTGCATATTTACTAATAAAAGCTTAAAAGGAACCACTCCTAGGCTTGTGCTATTTTACAGAGAAAATTCTTGAGGAAAACAGAAAACTTTCTGTATGTAAAAGATTGAAACTGAAGTGAATGGCAGTGGAATTGATTTTTTGGGCTACGGCTTGCCTATCCTCCCTTGAAAGACCAGCCCTGGGCATGTTACCAGTGATGATGCCATTTTGTGGCTATGGCTACCTTCCTGAGCTATACTGAAGCAAAACACTGTCTCTTTAGAACACTAACTGCTAAGCTTCCACCATGTCCCTCTACTTGTAAGGGTTCACATACAAAAGCCTTAGCATATCTTTTTGTCACCTCTATTATAGAGAGTAGGGTTGCTATAAATCTGAATTGACTCAGTGGCAATGGGTTTGGGTTTGGTTTTTGGTTTACTAGAGAGTTGGAGCCCTGATGAGGCAGTGGTTAAGTGCTTGGCTGCTAACTAAAATGGGAGCCGTTTGAACTCACCAGCTGCTCTGTGGGAGAAAGATGTGGCAATCTGCTTCCATAAAGACTTACAGTCTTGAGGCAGTTCTGCTCTGTCCTATTATAAGGTCACTGTAAATTGGAATGGGTTTGATGGCAGTGGGTTTGTTTTTTTGATTTACTGGAGAGTTATGCTCCATGAAGAGGGAACACAACATTCTTGACCTCAATGACCCTGTAGGCCAGAGAAATCATTGCAACCAAATCAACAAAGCACTGTTAATACCCTAGACAAGAAAACAGCTTAGCAACATACACAGCTACTTATGTTATAGTAGTATTAGTTGCAGTAGTATTTTTCCTGTGTATTTAGAAAGCCAGGTAAAATATGGATGAGGGTTATTATAAGATCTCAGTCTAACCTGAATATGCCATGTATTTTCATACATATATATATATCAGCTAGAATTCTAACTCCATTTTAAGAAATTGTTTTAAATATTACAAAGAACCAACTACCTTATGTCGTACTTTGGAGTTAGATTCAGCTCAAGATTTTTTTTTTTTAATTAGTTTGATCAGTAACCATATGGTGTATGTTTGTTACTCATTGGTAAATATTTTGTGAATTCTTTTAGTTGTGGAACCCAGCAAATGAAAAATTGCAAGAACTTTTTCTGCAAGAGATACGGATGGGAGAACTTTGGTTATCTAGAGGTAAGAATGTGAATATTCTTTTGTAAGTAGTTATTTATGATAGTTTCTGTTCAAGAAATGCCCTGCCCTACCATACTGTATAATTTATATCATAATCTTAGAAATGAGCAGATTGGGGAGCAAAGCCAACTATAGGAACACCTCACTTACTGTCAGGTGAAAGTCTGAATGAATGAATGTTCTAGATTACTAAATGGAAGAACCTTGCCTTCTTAGAGAATTCTTAGTAATAGTACTTATTTTTGATGATCAAATCATTATGAACCACCATACTTATACTGTCTAATACAGTGATGTCTGTAGAGTTTTACTTACAAATCAAACTTCATAAATCTTTGAGTTTTCCTCCCTGGATATGTGATTCATGCCTTATTTTGAAAAACTTTAAAATTATGCTCAAAACTTATCAATCTGTTATAGGAGAGCATAGAATGGGAGTTGACCATCTCAGCAATGCCCTTTTAATGTGTGGGCAACCACAGGAACTTCTGAAGGCTTTCAAACACATACTCCCTCCCAGGGTATTTGAGATGCTTTTGCACAAAATTCTCCTCATCTGCCAGGTGAGCACGTATTTAACTATCTTTAGGAAATGAATATAGTAAATAATTACATTTAGCTTGATTACAAAAAAATAGCAAACTATGTATGTGAAAGGCCCAAAGTTTTAAATGAGCAAGTCTTTGATTTTTGTTTGCTTTTCTTGCTTTAAGATGAAACAAATCTATTCTTTTATATTCCTTTTACTAATAATTAATTGTATATTTTGTTGAATATTATCCATGCTTTAACATTTCAACTTTAAAACTTTAAATTTCAACTTTAAAGATTGCATTGTTAATATTTTGTTTATCTTTATACTTCCAAAGACATCATACTTATTGACAGTAATATAGATTGAGTCCTTTTAGATTTTAAGTGACTTAATGGCTTAAAAACTAGATAAATACAGAAAGGAGTAAATTATCAAAGCAGAACAAAATGTCTGCTTTCTATTAACATGATCAAACACAAATTACTTTCATAAATTTAAACATACAGGTTGATTAGTGTTCTATTAATTACAAGTTTAGATTGGTATCAAATGAAATTCATTCATAAGCCAGGTGAGTAATAGATGTCAGTCCACTTATATTTACCAAATTGCTTGGTATACTTGTGCATCAATTAGAATTTCCTCTAATGCTTAGATTTGTTTCAGAATTCATTTAGTCGTAAGACACTACTTTAACTTGGGTTCACTTTTTACATTGATTCTATGTCCTATTGTTGGTCTGACTTAGAATCATTCACATTTGACTTAGATTTTGAACAAAACACTAAACAATAACAAAAAAAAAACCCATCAGACTTTACTAGAGAATAATAGTTACCTCTTAAACATTGCAAAGCTAGTCTCAGATGGGATTCTTCCTAGAGATAACATGAAAATATAGCCAGGATAAGAAAGTATAATGCCTACTCTTATACAAGAAGGGAGGCAAGAAAAGGATCGTGTATTGAAATGATTAGCAAGTAACTATTTTATGTATTTACCAGCAATTTGAGGCAGACATGAATGAACAGAAATACTTGGAGGATGATCCTGATTGAAAAAACATTTCAACGTATCCAAAGTCCAGTCAGAATACTATGATACTATATAGTATAAACAACTGCTCAGTGATACTTCCATTTATTTTACTTTTAGTAATAAAATTTTTTTTCTATGTCATACATGACTGAACACATATTTTGCTTTAAAATTAACAGTCACAATTGAAGAAACAATGGTTTATTTTTCTAATCAAGTGACCAAGCTGCTGAATCTTAAGGCCTCAAAAGTGCTGCATCTCACCATTCTCACTGAACAAAACCTTCTATGTGATTATTCCTGGTACACAGCAGTTTTGTTTCTCCAGTGTTTTCCATTTTTCAAACAATCATGGCAGACAGTTTTACATGGTGACTTGTTTTCAGGGGATTCTATCAAATGAATCCTCATTTCCAGTGCAACAGCTGTTAGCAACATTACATCAAAAGCCCATCTATCAGGACTTCTCTATCGTGGTTGGCCAAGGAGTCCTGCTTTGGCTGCCAGAGCTTCATTCTGCTGAATATGATACTCCTGAAATCTCATGGATATTCGTTGTGTCATTTTTAAATACTTCTGTAAGCAATGTTCTGAACAGGTGGTCTAGAAATACAAAAGGAAGATTCTAAGAGGCAAAACAAAAATACCAGCTTTTAAAAACGTACTTCAAAAGAATAGTGGGTGTTTTGCTTTTTTCATTAGTGTACTAGAGAATTAAATACAATTAATGTGTAGCAAGTAACCAGTGTTATACTTAGCATCTTTCCTAAACAGTTATCTAACAAGTACTTTTGATAGCTGATTATATGCTAAGTTCTTGACATGAATGTTTATCAACATCTGCCATGGAAGGAAGTTTTATTGTCATTTTGAACCAATTTATAAATGTTTTGATGAGCACACTTCTAATGGGATTGGGATTTTGGAGTATATTTAGACAATCTGAGCCATCAAGTTCAAATTTTGCTCTTTTCCAGTTAACATGAGTTCTCAGGGTCAGACAGAAAGGCCCCATCAAGTTTTTCTAGCCAGGTCATCTTGACTGATAGCTAACTGGTAAGAATCTCTGCTGTGGAACAGTAACTAAAGCAGCTGCAGGCATCTTCTCTTAAAATGTGTGTCTCGGTACAATGTGACAGTCATATTAAAATTTAGCATTGTTAATCTTGATGCCTTAGGTCCCTGGCTGCTTCAGTGCCTTTGAGCAATGGAACATATAAAAGGTAGGCAAATTCCTATAAATGTGAACAAGCAAAATGCTTAGGGGAATCCTATTTGTATTGTTTATCAAAAATTTATAGAAATTTTAGTTAGGTAACACTTTTCATCATACCTCTTCAGGTTTTACTTCTCTTGTTGTGAAGTCTTTAACACAGTCCAAAAAGCAGGTTTCTGTTAGTTTATTATAGGTTCCAAGAAATTCCTTAAACTATAAACAAATCAAAAAGTTATTTAATGTTTATCCCCTTTTTAAAAAATTGTGGTGAAAATATACAACACAACATATGACAATTCAGCCATTTCTACCTGTACATTTCAGTGACACTGATATATTCTTCACGTTGTGCAATCCTTCTTGCTTTATTTATAATAATTTATTTGTAATATTTTTAAAAATATTCCACCACACCAGGTAATGTTTGGTTTTTAAAACAAATATGCTTTGAAACTTAATTGCCAATGTTTTATATTTAGATAAAATACTCTGTAATAACTGAAATCATAGTTTCTTTTGCTAATTTAAATGAGTATAATAGAATATACAAAACATAATTTTCTAGTTGAAAATTTAGGTTTTCCTTATCTGTCAAATGACCGATACACCTGCTTCATATAATTTTTGGAAATAAAATGTTTATTTTGTGAGAATACTCACCTGACATGGTTGCATCAAGTAGTGTCTTACTTTTTTTTGCAAAAGCTTTTTTCCTTAATGCCTTACCTGTTTTATCTGATCAGATTCTGGTATTTGTGCAGCCATATTCTTTTAGTATGGTTATAGTCACCTGATTTAAAAATTAAAAAAAAAAAAAGTTTGTCAATCTTTAAACCAGTCTTTTTAGACTAACTGAAGACTTAGACCACCAAAACAAGAATAGTTGATGAAATAGGATTGAAATATGGCTACTAAAGTTATTGTTCATATTTTATAAATCCCTGAGTATATAATTATATGCCTCCTAGATCATTAATGACAACAGAACCTTAGAGTTTATAATTAGTATTTTTCATGTTACTATATTCTTGGGTATTACAAACCATGAATGTGGATGGCTGCTATCAAAGGTCTAGACAGGTGAGTCTACCAAGAGGTGCCTTGGAAAAAAGGCCTGGTGTTCTACTTCTGAAAAACCTGCCACTTAAAAGTCTGTGGAGCACAGCTCTACTCTGATGCACTGAGGGATGCCATGAGTTAGAACTTACTTGACAGCAACTAGTTTTTCTTAATGTTACTATGGAACCCAAAGGCCCTGTTTTATTTATCACCCATCTTTCTAAACCTCCAGTTTTAAGATAGTTTGCACTGCTTAAAGGAATAAGGTAGCCCAAGAGAACTCTGGTGCCTTCCTATAAGTACCTGAGATAACTATCCCACTGGTTGATAATGTAACTTTGACCTATGCAACTAATGATCCTTTTTATTTCTCTATGCAAATATAAGGTTTCTATTAATTGTTGAAAAACACCATCTACTTATACATTAACAGTACTCGTGAAAAATACTTAAGGGTTCTGGATATATGCACACCCATGTTCATCACAGCACTATTTACAATAGCCAAATGATGGAAACAACATAGGTGTCCATCAACTGAAGAATGGATAACCAAACTATGGTACATACACACAATGGAATACTATGCAACGCTAAAGAATAATGTAGATTCTGCAAAACACCGCATAACGTGGATGAACTTGGAGGA